TTTTTGGTCTCAAACAAGACAACGTTTTATAATTGGGCTTGTTCATTATTAGTCCCTTAAATCTTTTAATATTTTACAATTTGTACCTTATATCATTCAAAATTGCCTTTAGGCCCCTCAATTCTTATATCCCTCGGCCCTCGTCATAGCCTTGGAGTTTTTGTGCAGTGACATGCATCGAAGCAATCTAATTTCAATTCCTACCGATCACTAATTTAAAATGGATTTCAAATAATTGCAGAGTTCTTTGTTATACAAAAAGGATCAACTAGAAACATCTTATATTTTATTTGTTATCTTTCAAGCATCCGATGCTTTCTTTTGGGGGAAAAAAATCTCTACCGCTCCATGCGCAAGTATCTCCTGCAGACATTAGGTTCACATTTGATTTTTCTTTTGACTAACATACTCAAATTCTATTGCTCAAAAGAAATCCCACCCATCTAATTAGTAGGCCCCACTCCTCAATCCCTCTCTATATAAAGCCCCCTCCCTCCCAGCCAGCCTATTCCTCGGACATATACCCTCGCCAAAGACTCATCCCCGACGAGATTTTTCGATACGCGCAACCAAATAAACTGGCGACGTTCCGTCTCTCATCTTGCAAAGCTCCTCCTGTTTACCATCCCACTGCCGCCACATTCCACGCTACCAACCATGTGGGTACACCCGTCTGCCCGCGCCCCTCTCTGGCGCCGCAACCCGCCGCCCTCTCAACCACCGGCTCGCTCCTCACTCCGGCGAATCCAACCCCAGTCGACGTTCCCTGCCGGCTGGTCCGGCCGCTTGTGGGCCCGACCCTCTGCTCAACCGACCCCACATACCGCAAGTTCGCGCTGCCGCCACCGGCGACGGCGGGTCGTCCGCCCTCCAATGGCTCCGGCCGCCGGCGCCGCACACATGCCCCCGCCACCCTCTGCGAGTTCACCCTCAACGGGCACGACGGCCTCGACTGTTTCTACGGACGTCAGCCTGGTCGACGGCTAACAAACCTACGACTGGTCGTCCCGCCAAAGCGGTCGGGTAATTGTAGCCCGACGGGCTGCCTAGCGGATGCTCAACGCGCTGTCCCGTTGGAAGCTTAAGGTGACCCAATTTCTGGTGGGTTCCACGGGTTCGGGTCCCGGTTTCTGGCTCTGCTCTGGCTTGGCTCTGACTGTGGCTCGGTAGCGTGCAAGAGCGCGTGCGAAGCATACGGTACGGAGCAGTATTGTTGTAGCGGGGCGTATGGGAACCCGAATACGTGTAGGCCTACGGCGTACTCGCAGCTGTTTAAGAACGCGTGCCCGAGGGCGTATAGCTACGCGTACGATGACGCCACCTCGACCTTCACCTGCAGTGACGCTAATTATGACATCATTTTTTGTCCTAGGCCAACCAGGTAACAATAAAATTAATTAGCTGATAATTAATTCGTCTAAATCAATTTACAAAGGATTATATTTACTTTGCAGTGAGAAGTCGTGGGAGAACAACGGTAACGGCAATGCGAATCCGCAGAAAAATAAGTCTTGGGAGCATCTCCTTATTTTATGGAGCTCCAACAAGCTCCTAGTTAGGAGCTCTAACAATATCAAAAACCCCTCTTCTATCAAAAAACCTATCAAAAAAACCTCTCTTCTATCAAAAAACCTCTCTTCTATTGCAAAGATAAAAAAACAAGGAGTTTTTTGTAAAAAAAAATGTTTTTTAATTGCTTGAGAGCTCCCAAGCGCTCCACAAATTTGTGGAGCGCTTGGGAGCTCTCAAGCAATTAAAAAACATTTTTTTTTACAAAAAACTCCTTGTTTTTTTATCTTTGCAATAGAAGAGAGGTTTTTTGATAGAAGAGAGGTTTTTTTGATAGGTTTTTTGATAGAAGAGGGGTTTTTGATATTGTTAGAGTTTCTAACTAGGAGCTTGTTGGAGCTCCATAAAATAAGGAGATGCTCCCAAGGCTTATTTTTATAATTTTTTATACCAAAATGCTTAAGAGCTCTTGAGAGCTTGCTGACTAGGACTCCCAACTGAGAGCTTGCTGGACTTGCTCTAAGAGGTACACTTTTTTTTTTAATGTTAGGTGTGGAAAGGAGTGATAAGAGATAAAAAAATAGCCGTATGTTTTTGTTCTCCTTATCATATTATTGGAATCTATTATCCAACACTCTGTGTCATTAACTCGATTAACTAATTATTATTCTATTATCCAACACTCTGTGTGAATGAGGTCTTGGTAGATTCTAATTAAATTTATTGCTTAATTTTACTCAATTAGAGCTATACAATCTTTTTGCCATTAATTCGGACAAAGTTCTTATTGGCATAGATGAGGTGGTTTTGTTTAATAATCACCTTCACTTTGACCTGTCAATGCTGTCACCTTAACGTTAATAATGCATTGAAGAGGGACCAAAAATAGTCGCCCTTCATCACATTTGATTACTAGATAGTGAGGACTTAACTCTTTAATATCCATGCAGCTCTACCTCGCACTGACGAAAAGCAATATCAGTTTTTAGCAAAGTTTTGTTCTATCTTTAATCATGACAAAGCTAATAAAAATTAGTAATGCAAGCATGACAAATGTCAGAACGGTTATGATCTGGATAACAGTAATTTATATAAGTGTCATGTCAGCAACATATAAACGAAGTCCATTGAGTGATACACTTGCTAGAATTGTTCTAAATAATATGAAATATTTTTTACTGATTCCTTTAATGACTGAACTCATTAAGTACATGCAACATGGGGAGGCTTTTCGCCAATCTTTAGTACAAAAATTAAGTTTATGCAACTTGAGCATTCATCCAAAAAAAAAAAAGAAAAAAAGAATTGTAACAGTCTTAGGTGGACGACTTTAGTCAATAGCAACCCTATCAGAACCATCACTAAAGGAGTGAAGTAATTTATTTCATAGATAGGACAACTCAAATTCCAAAAGTAACACGCTAACCACCCGTAAATGGTTCACATCACCCTATTTTTATGGTGTATACTCTCATAGAATTTTCACTCAATTTTGATCGTGAGAGCTGATACATGATCCGGATAAAGGTCTATACTTATAAACTGAAAGAATAAAAATTAATGGGCCCACCAAAAGCACTACTTTTATTAGAGGCCCACTGAACAAGTAACCACACAAATTAAACCAATTTGCACTTTTGAGAAAATTGTGTCTAGGCCCCAAAAAACTAAAGGGGATGTGACCTAGCCCCTCAATGTTTTTCCTTTACTCTTTAACTTCAAAAACCCAAAAAATATGTTCAGCCCCCTTTTCACACTCTCCCATGTATTCAGCCCAAACAATTCCGAAAATACCCTTCCCTTTTCTTCCTCTTCTTCTCCTCCTCCTCTGTGGCTTTCTCCTCCTCTCAATCTCTTCCCCCTCCTCTGTGGATTCATATTCTCTGCAGCCACCAACGCAGACGCCGATCTACTCTTCCTCACCTCCTCGAGCACGAAGAACTCCCGACAATCACCGGCGCCGTCTCGTTCCGATCGGATATCAAGTGGAGGTCCGATCCAACGACATCGGATCTCAAGTGGAGGTCTGATCCAATGACATCAAATAATTAACATCTCGTTCTGGTCAATAAAGAACTACCCTATGTTATTTCTGTTGCCTTGTCTTATCATGTTTCTGTGGTTCTCGTCTTCTTGTTACAAATCATGAACGACTTCTATTCATTTGACGTGATTATTCCTACTAATATTTATGGCTTTGCTAAAGTTTGCCTATTGATCAATGAGACAGTGGACATGCCAAATTGCATAGCTTGTTTAGATATTTAATTATGCAAGGTTGTGGATTAGGATCTTACCGCTGCTTGCATATCTTTCACTACCTTAAATTATTTTCCTTATGTAGTGCCTATTTTTATCTTTTTTTTATATGAAGTCCTGTTGTCTCTTTTTCATTGCTTTCAACATTGCTCTTTCCATGTCATTTCCTGAGGCTTAGATTTTGCTTTTTTTATTTTAAATATGTAACTTCATGATGTTGAATGAAATCGTTTGTCACTTCAATACCAAATTCCTTGTGTTGCCTCCTTTGTTCCTCTTTATACTCATGTTTATGCCTAAGTTGTATTCTATTGATATGAAGATCTGTTATGCTCACTGCCTAGTGCAATGTTTTGTTTAGCTTTTGGTATCTAAATCAAATTAGTCATACTGAATAGATATATCAGGGAGCATTTATCTTTAAGAAGTGTGATTATGTGTAAAGGTTGAGCTTTTGAATCACTACAAGAAATTACATATTTAACGAAGGGATTTCCCTTCGTTAAAGAGCTGAAAACCTTCGTTATTGTATGCTAACGACGGGGAAAAAATCCCTTCGTCACCCGTTGTTGAAGCCCTCTTCGCTAAAGGGTCACGAAGGGATATACTACCCGTCGTTATAGAGTCTATAACGACGGAACATATTACCATCGTTAATATTTACGACCCCGTCGTTATAGAGTCTATAACGACGGAACATATTACCATCGTTAATATTTACGACGGTAATTATCACTGTCGTTACCATCAGTGACGGGATTTTTTCCCGTCATTACCATCAGTGACGGGATATTTTTCCGTCATTATCATTAGTTACGGGGATATTTTTCCCGTCGTTGAAGACTAATTAATGACGGTTGGATACCGTCGTAAAAGTCTTCATAATGGGTAATTAGTAACCCATCAACGACGGTGTTTTCCCTTCGTTGATGAACAAAATACGGTTTATAAAACCGTCATTGTAGACTACAAATTTATAATATACATTAATAACATTTTTTTCCATTCATAGGCAACTATCATATTATTCTCAACCTGACACTAAGATTAACAACACAAATATATTAAAAATACCCAATATTGAATAAAAGGGAAAATAAAATTCTATTCATTAATAACATCAATAAATAAAATTCCACCATCCTCAAATATTCAATACTAATAAATCTTAATTATTAAGTAAAAATCATATTTTTTAGTGCAAGTAGTCAATCATAAAAAAGCTTTTCCAATCAGGACATTGCTTTACAAAATGTACAAAATGGGAGATGAACCTTCGAAAACTTCTTGTCTTTTCTAGATTCAAGAGACGGGGGAGCATTATTCAAGGTCATGAGAAAGACCTGCAAAATAAATTTTTTCAGAGAACGCATCACTGAAAACATGATGCATAACAGAAAGTAACATTCTTGCATAGCTTTCCAGATATTCATATTTTAGGTGAAAATCAATGAACCAAAGTCATTAGCTAATTGTACCAAAATCCTCTTGCCTTTTGGAACTAAGTTCAAATGCAAATGGAAAACACAAGGAAGAAAACTCAGATTACTATAATACCTTTATAGGCGGTCGAGAGGAAAAAGGAGCATGCCCATGAGCAAGCTCCAATGTCGTAATTCCAAAAGACCAGATATCCACCCTGCAGTTTGTTACGAAATATTCTGTGAGATCTGGGATCTACAAAATGAACTAAACTAAACAAGATAAACAGCGAAAGAAGTCACAGAACCTACTTGAAATCATAACCATATCGTTGCTCCATCACTTCAGGTGCCATCCTAGAAAAAGAAGATAAAAAAAAATCAGATGTCACTATCTGCAAAACTAGTATTATGTAACCATGCTAAAAATTTTCAAATGACGCACCAGCAAGGAGTTCCAACTAAGGTATTCCATGTACGCTGCCTATCACCCGAATCAAAAAGGCAAGCGGAAACACCAAAATCTCCGAGCTTCACTCCTCCATGTGTATCAACTAAGATATTACCAGCCTACAAAATATATTAAAGTTAGAAAGCTGTCTGCATCATTAATAAGGTAAAATGGAATTAAAACCTAAGATGATGAAATACAGTCAGAGTCAGCATAAGACAATCTAGACGAAAGGAAGTAAGAATACCAATTTTCTTACTTTTAGTACAAGACTCATTCCAGGTCTCAAGCAAATAGCAATTGGAATAAAATGATTCCAGCTAAAAGAAGTAATCGCTTCAAGGGTATTACATGATAATCAATAAAAGAGCACTAATAGAATATGATGAGAGAAGTGGATATGAAATTAAGACAAATTATATAATATATATGTTTGAGAATCAGCGTTTTGGTGCCAAAAAATGTATTATAGTAGAACACAGAATCCATCAAAGAAACAAGCACATGTTACTCTGCCTAGAACCACAGATGTGACATTTCAAGTGGAACAAATTCATACAAATCATCGTTAAAACTTGAACATGTTTTACTGCTTGACAACCAGTTAGAGACACCCTAATGAGTGGCAATTTATAATACTAGCTTCATGGCTTCAAAAAATAAAGGATGAGCATAGGTTATTAATTCGTCAAATAATTTTGTGCCTAAACATAGCAAATATAAACAATATCAGAGACATGTATAAATACAGATAATTATGTTCACACTTACATTTTCTCTTGTCCTTAGGCTTCCTCCCAAAACTGTTTTTATTCTACCAAGCAACCCTCCATCAGAATAAGCCATTAGAATCAAAATTCACATGAAGATGCAAAATGATCAATTACCTTTGCATTGTTGAGCCTCGGTAGCAGCTCCTTATCAATGCGATTGTCTTCTGGTGCCCTACACAAAGCTCAAGATACACTATAAGTTCTAAAACAAACTAAAAGAAATTAATCTAATGAAGATGACTGCAATATGCGACAAGAAAGTACTTTTTGCTCACAACTTTTTTTGCTAGCTTCCTGTGTGGTTTAAACTTAATAGAAATATTTGAATAACATAGTTTAGTGTAATGATATGTTGATTTAATTTTAAAATTTTTATATAACCAATATATTTAATGTAATTATGCATTTTAGAAGCTTTATAACAATATTTATTTGATAATATTTATATAGATATTTCCACCGTATATCAAGAAAGATTTTTGACATCGATATTTACGGTCAAGAAAAAAACAGAAACAAAACTGCAACCACAAAGAAGTAAATATCTTCATTGCTAATTACCATCAGATAACTTGTCCAATTAAAGATAATTGCAAAGTGAAAATTATGTCAAGTAATGAACACAGACTATTTTACTATCTACAAAAATGCAAATTCTAAGAAGAATAAACCTCTTGATATTGGGAAAACAGCTAAGAGATTTACAAAGTAGAATGCTAAAATAGTAATTAGGTGAATAACAAATACAATTTGCATGCAAAAATTTTATGAGGTCTGGTTATAAATGGAGAGTAAATTTACAGACCAAACTTTTTAAATACAGTTGAAAAGATCCATACAAAGTTAATTTATTAGACAGCAGAGTCTTAAATCTGTCACTCATGAACATATTAACTTAAAGAGATATTTCTATGTATATAACGCAACAAGTCTCGATGCAAAGGGGGGGAGAAATGTTTCATAATTTTGTCACTTAAGCACCAAATCCTCATTGGTGATTTAACTAATGAATTTACATTCCTGAGTCAATTTTCTTACTTCTTTCTACTTTAAAACAGAGTGCTTCTAATTTCTTCTCCCCCTAAAGCAACCACTGACTAGAAGACCTTTTTATATCGTCGTCCATTTTGGTGGTTAGGACCTGATAATTGTTCTGTATAAACTAGTTTTTTTAACCATTCAATCAAAAAAGGATGTGAGCCCTTCCAAGTCTTGCTTAATTAAACTCAAGGAAAAATGAATTTATAGGAGACAGTAAACCATGCAAATCACATATATTATTCTAGCTAATAGACTATTCAAACTTGAAAAAAAAAGCATAATTACATTGCACAAATCCTGGTCGTTTTGCACTTGCATTATAAAAGTCACCCCTTTATTCAATGGAAACTTCTAAACAATCCACAAACTATAAAAGTCAAAGAAAATATCACAAATATCAACCTTTTATGATGCCCAGATTACTTCTATTTAACTATGAAGATGACTGCAATATTTCTATGTAACTATGTTATCACCTGCTAACTATATCTTTCAATTCTCCTTCGAAGTCTCATCAAGCATCTTATGTACTACTAATTTCAGCAGCAAACGGATGTAAAATAGCAGAATCACAAGGACGAACTGAGAGGATAAGGAGAACCATTGAACTGAGCTTAGAAACAAGGTGGCTTTTGGAATCAAATGCATAAGCATAATACATCTGAAAATACCCCAATTAGGGTTAGGGTTTTGAGGTAGAGGACTTACAAGTCAGGCGTCAAGCGAAAATGAGGAGCATGAGAGGCAGTGAGGTCTGATTTGGGGAGGAAGAACTACGATTTTTTAGGGGCACTCGGCGGCAAACTGCAGGGTCGACGACGGTGGCGAACTGTAGGGCTCGATAACGACAGAGACCTCTAACGACGGCGGCGACCTCCGACGGTAGCGTGGGGGGGGGGGGGGGAAGATGAATTGAAGGCGCACGGGCGATTGGGGTTTTTTGATGAGAGAGAGAGAACGAGGTTTTGGGTGGATTGCGTTGGTTTTTTCTTTTGATTTTAACGAAAATAATTGGGGGGTAGTTCCCTCTGTTGTGTGTATATGCAAAAAAAAAAATTGTTAGGCTAATTTCAGTCCTATTATGGTTAGGAGTGTCATCAATTAAGATATAGATCCCCTTCATATTTAAAGAGACCTAATAACGACGGTATTAGGATCAAATTAATGAAGGGACTTGAAATCCGTTATCACATCTCACGTCATTCTTTTAATATTTGTAATCACTCGACGAAGGATTTAAAACCCGTCGTTATTATATACACATTAATGACGGTCAACTGGTCCCTTTACTAATTTTGGTCGTTAAATACCGGATTTCTTGTAGTGAATGTTTTATGAGCTTTGGGAATTCAAGTATGAGTTGTTGTGATAAGAACAGAGAGGGTGAGGAGATTAAGCTGCAGGTGTTCAACGTGAGGCCTTAAGGAGAATCACTAGCAGGAATCTCAATGACCTACCTCTTGATGGGTTCGATTAAACCTCCATCCTCAGCCAGTGCTGCGAGATGCCGATTGGGTTCGTCGCATTGCCCGTTAGCATCGCGGGCCTGCTGGTTTTGGATGGTAAGACTTACTACGTACCGATGGCCATGACCGAATGATGTTTGGTTGCGAGCATGAACAGAGGGTGCAAGGCCATCGGGGAGTCAGGTGGGGTCCAGAGTGTGGTTTGGATGTACTTAGATCAAAATTTAATGAAATGTATTGTGTCTATTTAGTGATTAATTTTAGTGTAATTTATTGTGATTGTATCTGAAATGTATTGTGGTTATCATGTGAATATGTATAAGTTCATTCAAATAGAACTTGATGTGCATAATAAACTAAATATTATATATAAATTATGTGTATCAAAACCTGAATATTACGGTACATAATATGTACATAATCTGGAGGTTATTGAGTACATATATATTTACAGATTATGTACATCATCTTCAAGTTGCGATACACTATTAAATCTCATAATATGTTAACTTTCACTATTACATGTTAACTTTCATCATTATATGTTAACTCTCCTCGTAACATGTTAATTTTTAGCTGAACATGTTAAATTTTATCACAATATGTTAACTTTCACTGTTACATGTTAACTTTTATCATAATATGTACATAATCTATATATATTATGTACACAATAACCTCAAGATTATGTGTACATATTTACATGACAACCATAATACATTTCACATATAATCACAATAAATTACACCAAAATTAATCACTAAATACACACAATAATTTCATTAAATTTTGATCTAAGTACAACCAAACCACAGTTCTCTTTCCTCCACGGTAACCTTTCATCCTATAGAACAATAAATAAAATAAAAGCATCATCTTACATAAATCTCTTAGCATTACAAAAATAATCACAAACCAGTACAACTACGTGCAGATAGATCCCATCACAAATCAAAATATAGTTTCTTTGAGCTCAGGAAACTTATTTGTACATATAATCTTGAAATGTATTACGGATGTCATGTGAATATGTACACATTATCTTGAAATGTATTGCGGATGTCATGTGAATATGTACACATAATCTTGAAATGTATTGCGGATGTCATGTGAATATGTACACATAATCTTGAGGTTATTGTGTACATAATATATATAGATTATGTACATAATCTTCAAGTTACGATACACTATTAAATCTCATAATATATTAACTTTCACTATTACATGTTAACTTTCATAATAATATGTTAACTTTCATCATTATATGTTAACTCTCCTCGTAACATGTTAACTTTCAGCTAAACATGTTAATTTTCATCATTCATCATAATATGTTAACTTTTACTATTACATGTTAACTTTCATAATAATATATTAATCTTCTTCATAACAAGTTTTTTTAACTAAAATTCGATGTGTTTGAAAGATTAAAAGTTCTAACTGAAATGTTAACATGTTCAGCTAAAAGTTAACATGTTACGAAGAAAATTAACATATTATGATAAAAGATAACATGTAATAGTGAATGTTAACATATTATGATGAAAGTTAAAATGTTACGAAGAAAGTTAACATGTTACGAAGAAAGTTTGCATAATATGGTGAAAATTAACATGTAATAGTGAAGGTTAACATATTATGATGAAAAGTTAATATGTTCAGCTAAAAGTTAACATATTGTTATGAAAGTTACTGTAAAACCCTAAAAATTTGTGATATATATATATATATACATATATATATATATATAGATATATATATATATATATATATATATATATATATATATATATATATATATATATATATATATATACATATATATATATACATACATATATATATATATATATATATATATATATATATATATATATATATATATATATATATATATATATATATATATATACATATATATATACATACATACATA